CCCTTTCTCTGCGGGTCGTTGCTCTGGAGACGAGAGCACCGTTTTCACCCCCCTTCCTCCATTCCAGTCCATCACAGCAAGGGAATGAATGTGTACATTTAATTAATTGGTATTCACAGCATGGTGACATGAAGGTAATGGTAGGTAGCAGCAGCATTAATATTTTGGAGGTAAAGTGAAAAACTCTTGCACGAATGAGACATTGCTATTTTGGACAAGGGAAAGACCCTTAATACTGGCTCCAAAAGAATAGCTCAGTTGATGCTGCTTCAGCTGCAGCCAAGAGGTAACATGCTTTGGTACATGCTGGGGAAGAACTGGCTTGCCTCAACAGTTCTGGCTGGCTGGGGACTGAGAGAGCTAAACGTGTTCGGAGGAACCAGAGGAACCTGGGTAAGAAAGGGTCTGGCTGCATCAAACGCATGTTGTGGCTGCAAAGATTCTTGGTGTTTCCTTCAAAAGGCTTGCACCAAGGCAATCCCAGCAATGACTCCCATGACGACTCTTGCCTAGAACACCAAGATCATGGGTGCAGTTTGTTAAAGGTTAGATATGTAAGAAACTAACTTTCCCCACTAGGCACCCAGGGAGAAAAACGGGAGAGGGTGATATTGCTGCCCTGAGGAGCCTCCTTCTGCCTGTCAGAAAAGGGAGCTAGAGAGGTTTGATAGCCTTCCTCTTCCAGACATTATGTTTAATTCTTGGAAGGAAATTCTCTTCACAAACCCTTATAATGTGCTACTTCTGCTAAGTAATAACATCTCAGGACATGACCCATGGAGTAAAGCTCAGCTTCAAGAGGCCGTGGAGAACATTCAAAGCACTCACCAAGTCTGGCATCTTACTGATCAAGTTTTCTTCCTGAGAACACAGGGCTACCATTTCATCCAGTTGTTCTTGGTGGTTTTGAAGAACGAGCTGCCTGTGGGGCACAGTAAAAATAGCTCTCTTACCAAAATGCTTTATTTACTTCAAGGGTCTCTGGCCACTATAAGCCCTCAGATTTGGGCTACGTAGGTTAACCAACTGGCCAGCTGTCTAGAAACCTTCAATGGCCATCCTGGCAAACTCTGTAGTCTTTACTGTTTGAGCAGTCAAAGCTTCTCATTCACACAATCAGTAATTAGGACAAAAATCTTAAATATCTGTGATCTCTGTATTGCTGATTGCTGAAACCTCAGGCCACAGTTGCCCAGCAGCACTTGGCAGAGGCAAGATTAAAACCCAGATCTTTTGCTATGGAAATAGTAACGGAATATGCTCCCTGCGAGCAACAGCCTCTCAACCTATCCTATGGTCAGAAAAGAGGAGGATCCAGAAAACTCACCTTCCCAGCACTTCCTTATCCTTCAGGGAACCTTCAGCCAAATCCACCTGACCACAAGCATTCAGCGAGTTCTTTGCAGTCCCAGCAGTTGTCCCCTTGGATTCAACCCCTGAGTCCTGCTCCGTAATCTCATGATTATGTGTATTCTGAAGAGGTCCCACTTCCTCATTCTTGAATGCTGCTTCTGAAGGGCTGAGCTCCACTGTCCCATGGGACAGATCAGATTGCGATGCAGCACTTCTTTCTGAGAGCTGTTTGTTCTCTGCATTATCAGAGTTGGATAATGCATTTGAAATGGAAGATATCTCTCCCTTATCAACTGGACTGCACAGGGCCAAGGGCTCAGGAACCTCTTCTTTCCCCAAACCCAGCTGATCTGAACAGCTCCATGAAACAGCAATCTTTGTCATGTCAGGATCAGAATCATACTGTAGGACAGCTGAATATTCACTAGTTTGTAGGTTACCATGAAGCAAGGTACTTTCCTCCATGTGCCGAGGAAGGAGATCAGCCAGAGGATCTTCACTAGCGTAGCCACAAACACAGCTATGAAGTTCATCTAAAGCTGATGTAGCTCCCAAGAGAGAAGAATCATGAGGACTGTGACAAGACTGAGAAAGCCACTTGTATTTGGCCTCTGGAGAAAGAACCTGGCCAGCTTTTCTCCTCCAGGGATTTATTTCATGTATGCTGGATGTAGGGGATTGTTTGTTTTCATGAAAGTGCCCAGTATCGTCATTCCAACATTTTCTGGGGCTAAGGATTTCTTTTTCAATCATCTCCTTCCCTTGAGTATCTACTGACCCTGAATTAAGGAAGGATACTGTCAAAGGTGTCATCAGTTCATCAGCAAGGTCCATGGGAAAGTCTAAAGCTCCACAAAAGTCTGCTCCTCTGGGGAGATCCTTTTTTTCTGTAATTCCTGAAAATGCGGGTTCCAATAGGACAGCAGCAAGAGATGGACTTTGTGTTAATTTTCTTGGTACAGGTAAGTGTTCGTCAGGGCAACTGTGAGATGGACCTATACATTTAGGCTGCTTCTGCTCAACAAGCAATTCTTTGGAATTTATTCTATTACATATAAGGCTGTCTTCCTCTGAGCAATAAGGTTTCTCTGGTATGCCGTTGTTCAGGAAAGAACCAACAGCTGGTATTTCCTCTGAACTCCAATCAGATAGACTCTTACTGCCTTCTTCACAGCTGGTAGACTCTTCCTCGCTTGGTAAGACTGCTCCTTTCTTCTCAAACTCATACCATTTACAAAACAGCTCTTCCTCATTTTGTACACTCTGTTCTTGAATCCCACAGTCTTTCTGATGGAGGAAAAATGAATTCTGGTTGCACTTCCTTTTAGCTTCCATCTCCGCCTTCTTCTGACTGGGCCTGGGAGAGAAAGAGTCCTCACTGAAGTCGCTGTCATCCAGTTCCTCAAGCTGCATGGTTTCATCACGGCACTGAGGGGATACAGGGACTGGGCAAGACGCCTCTTGGATTACCTGGATCTCCTGGGGCTTGTACTGAGTTAAAAACTTTTCTAATGGCTGGTAGTTCAATTTCTGCTGCAGAAGAGGAGGCTGCTGGAACTGCTGATGATAAAGTCGAAGGTGCTGCTCCCGGTCTTTCTGATGTGGGGAAACACTTGTCCAGGCTGCAGTGCACTGTTCTGCAAATAGTCTCCCATCTTCTTCCAGGTGGTCTGATGGGTGATCTGAGTTATGATGGGAAAAATCAGCCCTGGAAACAAGTTGCTTTTGCACTGGTTCTACTTTCAGACACTTAACCCGCTGTCTGTCCTCCTGACCACCTTCTCTCCTTGCCATAAAGTCCTTCCCAAGGTGGCTTTTCTCAGAATGCAGTGTGGGTTCCTCAGCCAGCTTCTTGGCTGATGACTCTGTCTTCAGAATCCCTTTTACTGGGCTGGTACAGCCGAGCCATGGAGCTCCAAAAGGTTCTTTGCGTCCCTGTCCTTTTGGAGTAGAAGAGAAAGGAAGATGAGCTGGCTGAAACAGCAAAGAAGTCTTCATCTTCGTCACAGGCGTAGGTATTAGAGGGTGCTGCAACCCTAGCTTAACTTTTTTGGGAGAGCTCTTTCCTCCAACTTGCATGTAAGGAGAATTCTGGATACGCTTAGGAGACACATTTCCTGTTGCCCGGCGTCTGTTGGCAATCGGTGTGCAACATTTCATCCCTCTCTTCAACTCTTTTACTCTGACAATGAAAAAGCCAAGAATTACCAATGCCTTCTTAAAGATGTCTAGGTCACGTTTTAGAGCCAAGCTCTCTCAAGATGGCTTATAGAGAAGGAATAAAACACTGCGCCAATCAAATGCAATTGCAGTTACCATTTCAAAAGCCAGCCCTTCAACATCTGAGCCAGTAGTACTCTGCTTTGTAAGTGAGATCTCCTGCTGGGCAACAGAGGCCTGGCAGAGAACATCCATTTGCATTCCAAGCTAGTGCCTTGATCATTCAGACTCTTCTCTGGTTTTAAGTCAGTTCTGCCACTTACCTATCAGCATAGCGCAAGGTATTTAAGGTGTGCTCTGTGGCAATGTGGCTGGGTGATACGTTGGCTATCATGCATGTCTTGGAGTTTCCAACAAAAGAATCCTTTAGGACCTTGAGCGGGGAGAGAAGAGACGTTTTAAGCTCTTTGGTATATTAACTAGACCTTATCCAGCCTGAACCCTTGGGAAGAGGCATAATATCTAGTGAACAACCTAACAGGAATTAAGATATGCTCACCAAAATTTTAGCTATGTAGAATTTCTGGGATTACAACTCCCATGTTGGCTGGAAAGTTTAAGAGTTGCAGTCCTGATGCATCTGGAGGATGTCAGGCAGGGAAGGCTAAATTACTGCTATTTTCCTGAAGCTGATAAATTAATTCATTGCCCTGTTGAACCCAGGCCCTTAACATAACTTGTTAGAACACTATTGTTCACACTTGACTCTTATTCTGCAACTCAGAATTTCCCACCCTCCTTATTTGTAACTGTCTACTCTGACAGCTGCAAATCCAAATTATTTTATAAGTACTGGTTGATTACACCCCTACACACAAGTAAACATGTATAATGTGTGACTAGGACACACAGTGGATTACCAGAAGGGGACTCAAAAGATGATTTAATTCCTCACAGGAGAGGCAGTGTGATGCAAGGAACTATAGCCAGCTATAGAAGAGCAAGTTCTAGCAGGAAGGTCTTTGGATTCATCAGAAGTCAGTTTGGGGGTGTATGGGGCGTTTTGGTGCAAGCATTGCTTCTCTTGGTGAGAGGTGCAAAGTGTTGAGTGGAGTCCCATGGAGTGCAAGGACAAGGGAAGACCCAGAACCAAGGGATCTGAAGGACCTTTCCATTTGGTTTAACATCTGTATGAAACTACTGAGAGAAGGTATTTATCAGAGATACCACTGATGGTAGTCAGCTGTCTATTTCCATCCCAGACTAAGCTGGAGATGCCACAGAATTCTTGAATTGGAGCTCAGAGGCTATGAAGATCTGGATGGAACAAAACAGGCGAAAGCTGAAGCCAATCAAGACAGTTACTTGTTATGCAGAAGGTATTTCTGTCAGCTCCAGCAAAAACTTCTCATGGGATAGCCCTCTACCTGAAACAACATATCTGTGACCTGAGGGTCCTCCTGGACTCATGGTGGGAGGAAGCTGTGGCCAGGAGGCCTTCACTCAACTTTAGCTTGTGCGCCAGCTAAAGCTGTACCTGGAATGGGAGGCCTCACCCATAGTGACTCATGCTGTTACCACCACTCACCTGAATAACAGAAATGCACACCACAGGAGGGTGCCTTTGAAGACCATTCAGAAACTACTGTCCAAAATGCAGCAGCTCATATATTGTCAAGTCAGAGCCACCACAGATGTATAATATCTAGTTTATGGCTGCTGCACTGGTCATCAATAGGTTTCTGGGTGCAATTCAAAGTGCTGGTTTGGACCTATAAGGCCCTAGATTGCTTGCCATCTAGGTACTTTCAGAACTGCCAGCTCCATGTAGAAATAGTCTATCCAACCACTCTAGCAGGTGCATCCCGTCAATGTCTTTAGATTGTCCCCCCAGTCCATGAAGAGAAGGGGGGGCTCAAAAACAATGTTTTTCAGATGCAGCCCCCATACAATGGAATAGTCTCCCTATGGAAGTTAGGCTACACCCTCTTTGTTGGTCTTCTAGAAGTTATTTACCATGATGTTCTGGAGGGCATTTGGGGAATGATCTTGTCAGCTCTGCACTTATTCTGAATTTGTATACTTCTTGGTTATTCTGTGGTTATTCAAATTTTTGAAAAAAATTGAAAAAGGTTTCATATTTTGTAATGTAAACTGCCAGGAGTTACTTTTGGCAATTGGCACTATAGAAATTTGAGAGAGAGAGAGAGAGGGAGAGAGAGAAGTTGGTAGAATTGGGGGGAAAGTTGAGTCAGTCTCCAATACTACCTGCGTCAGCTTGCTTTGCCTGAAGGGAGTATGAGCATGTTCCTGATCTAATGCACGGATGCACTCTTTCAGCTAGTGACAGACAGAAAAGAAAAAATAGTGAGGATCACACAGACACTACACAGCAATATCTAGATGGGGCTGTTTTCTCACCAAACCATGCTGCACTCAATAGCTGAGGTTGCCAAAGATATGAGGGGGCCTCACAATTTGTGTCTTCTTTTCCCCCACCCCCCAATTTTCTGCAGGGGCTCTGTCAGTGTATTTCCTTGATAAGTCAGGAGGTTAGAGTAACAGCCTTGTCAGCTATCAATGCTTCTGGTCATCTCTGCTTTCTTTTCCCAAAACCTTCTCCATAAGTTAGCTCTTACTGCCTATTCATTTGAACTGCTTCCTTCCTTCCTCTGATTTTTTTGTTCTTTTTTACCAAAATATTTTCATATTAATTTTTAAAACTGAGACTATTTAACCATCCCTGCTGGTATGAATATATGAAACTGCTTTCTTTCTAAAGTCAGACCCCCAGCTGATCAGTTTAGCCCAATGGGCTGTGGCTTCTGGAGGTCTTGGCGCCAGAGCAAGAGGTGATGAAATTTGTACTCCATTAGATTGGAGAGACATTCTCACTGGCAGCTGCCTTTTTAGACAGGGCCCTTTCCCATCCTTGCAAGTCAGAAGCTGGATCTGTTTCAGGCACAGCAAACGCTCTGCCCATGAAGTGCAGCCTTCAGAAGAACTCAGCAGAGGAGACCGTGTGATTACTTACTGCTAGAAGACTTTGATTGATTTCTGCTCCTTCCATTTTTGTCTGTCTGTCAGAGTCTTTGGCATCAGCTGCCCTCTCACTGCCAGCCAGATCAATAAATGAGATTCTGGAAGACAACGTTAATTATTTTATGTTAACCTGCCAAATGAAGTTTTAGTTCCCACAGCCAGGCAGAATACACTAAGAGATGGTGGTTTGCTCAAGGATACTGAAGTACACCTCAAATCAACTGTTTCTTTAAAAAAAATGTTATACCGCTCTTTGATTCAACATTTCAAGGATGAAACAATAACCAATAAAAGCAGTAAAGGACCACGTTAACACTCCCAGCTCAGGAAAGAAAATCAAAAATTAAATGGAAAAATGGCCTGCCACCCAAGTGTTTGGGCCATCTGGTCACTATCCTGGAGATGACTTACCATTATGTGGAAACAATCTATGTGATCTCCATGAATTCATTTAGAAAGCTCGCATCCATGAAATGACTAGCTATGTTGAGCTGACATTAAGGTCCTCAACACACCTGCATGCGGGGAGGGAACTGGGCAAGGAAGGCCATCCAGCTCATGCTTTTTAGGACAGCACAAGGCCCAGCAACCGCACCCTGTATTTCCACTTCTTCTGTACTCACCTCCCAAACACTCTGTTTGCAGGATCTTTAATTTGAATCTGGATAATTGCATGGGAACGGGAAGAATCAGAGTTGACTCCAGTTGCTCCTGTACTGCGTTCCTTCCCTCCTTTCAGAATAACCTGGGGATGGTGGATGGAAAGCAGAGAAGTGGGTTGTTTTTTTGTTTTTGTTTTGCACATTATAAAATTGTTTTGAATTTCAGATTTACAAGATGATGTATTTCAAATAACCATTAGATCTCAAACACAGTTATGGGTATAGAGAAGGGATCAGATGGTTCTCGGTTTCAGTCTGTGGGCACAGGATTGTTATTCCCTTCTTCAGATGAAAAAGACACCCCAAACCTAAGTGCCAAATCGAAATGATTCCAGTACCAATAAAACAAAGAAGAGGTCAGTTCTGGAAGATATTGAACTATAATCTTGTCCAGCTCCCCGTCTCAAAAATAGGACTCTCCATCGATCCATCCATTTGCACCACATAGTCCGAGTTATAAAGTCCAGAGTGCACAACAGAACAGATGCATCACAGAGATGCTTAAGGGACCATTAAGCATTCGCACAGAACGTATACACAGGAGAAGAAGAGAGGAAAGAAAGTTCATCCAGAATCACAAGCTGGCAGGACCACTTTCTTTTCGTCAAATTTTATTTTGAAGTTCCCCTCCAATTTTTATAACATTTTTCACTTGCTCCCTTATATTTTCATTTCTTGCCATTTTTTTTCTGCTTTAAACTGTTAAGATCTAAAAGTTCAAAGTTTTGCCAGCTAAAAGGAGAGAACTGGAGGCTATTTAGTGCCTACATCTCATCTCCCACTTTTACTTTCATCTTCAAATTTCTTGAGCTGTAACTTCTAGGTCCTAATATTAAAGCCCCAAAATCCTAAAGTAGGGCAATGACTGAAAAGACTTACTTCAGATTTTGACTCAGGCATATGTAGCTTCTACAACAGCCCACTCTTTCTCCTCAGTGCCCAGATGTGGCCATGGAAACTTTAATCTACAAACTTTAATCTACTGCCCAGCCCAGAGCAAAATATTGATCTGATTTATCAGAACACTAACAGAACAAATCAGTATTACACCGTGGCTTTTAGGGCAGATCTCTTCCTTGCTCAGTTCCAGAACCTAGACATCATATCAGAACTCATTTGGATGGTGGCTTTTATTTTATTGAGGTAGAGAAGGTTTATGATAACTTCTTGCTAGATACATTCCATTTTGGGGATTAATAATGGTTAAGCCAAACTCTGTAATGCTCACGTTAAGTCTTAGCGCTATTATGGGATAATGTCTTTGTCAAGCGTGGGGAAGATCTGAGCCATGGGTCTTTCAAGCCATAGCTTCCTCTTCAACTGCCAGACCCCAAAGGTGCCTCCTGAGCAGTTTAACTGGAGCTTCCAAAGTTCTCCAAACTTTCCCTTCTTTCCTCCCTGGGTATTTGTTTCCCAAAATTCAGCTGATGGGGTAGGAGATGTAAGAACAGCAGGAGGCTAACAGGAAAGTTTTTCATGCACCACAGACACCAGAAGATAAATAGAATTCTAGACGGTCAAAATTACCTCCAGAAGCAAGTTGACGGTATTCACTTGGACCTCACGCAGCCCAACTATTTGTACAATATGCTTGCTATCTTCCCTTGCAAAAAGCCTGCAGAGAAACCTTCAGAGATTAGTAGAGAAACTTGGAAAGAGGTCCAACAAATGCTTTACAAATAAACTTTTAAAAAGTCTTTGTTACAATTATTTCCCATAATATATGGTCTAGGCAGATTAAAGTATTTCAACTACTTGGAAATTATTCTGAAGTATTGAAAAATAATGGCCAATCAGAACCAATACTTATAAAAAGAGATACTGATTGTGATGATAGTTAACTAAAAGACTGAGGAGAAAAGATACATTTCACCTGACTTCTAAATGATAACAGGATGAATAATAACTGCTGCTTGTCGTGTGTTCAATGACTGGACCACAACTCTAGAACTGTGGAGTCCCCAAGGACTCCACAGTTCAACCCTGAGCTACACATATTCACCTCTATTGGTACAACTCTAGAAGAGACCAATTTGTCTCTGAAAGATGTGGAGAATCTGACATTGGGCCTAAGATAATCATTTTAGAGGACAGAGTAAGTTCATGAGGCCGAAGGTTAGTTTGTAGATACTCAAGGACAGGGTAGGGAGGGCTTTACAGATCAAACCTAGTGTTTTCCAATATTGCCATGAAACAATGCAGATATTTAAGCACAGCCAAAATATATTAGTTATGGCCCCATTAATAATAAGGCATCAATATCAGCTTGAAATCTGTTTCTTGTCAGAACAGAATCCTGTCAAACACTAGTTGCATAGCTCCCTCGGTAATCTGAGGTATCTGTCACCAGCCCTTCCTTCTTCTCTGGCTTGAACTTCATTTTATTAGCTCTCATCTAGCCAACAAAGGTCATCAATGGCCCAACAGCCATTTGGCAGCCATGAAGAATAAGGAACTATTCCTACTCTGCATGCTGCTGCACATTCCTCTTCAGTGTAAAGATAGTGCTAACTGTTCTTGAAATACATGCCCATCAACTGGAGACTGGTTTTGGTCAATGCATGGTAACCCTGTCTATTCTGAAACAGTTTTCAAAGCTGAAACTTCTCATTTCTCAGTATCCATCAATGAATATATCAGCTAGGACAACCAGTAATGAGAAAAAATTAATTATATCAACATTTAAATAATCAGTTGCTGGTTGGAGTTAATAAAACACGGAGAAGATGAAGTGCTTACAGTCTTCTATCCCAATAGATCTCCAACAAAAACATACATACTGTCTGTCTGCTAGAAAGCAGTTCCTTTGCCAAGCAAGCCATCTCTTAGATTGCCTTGCTAAAGGAAGAAAAGCTACCATGACTGAGCCACCCAGCAACTATTAGCCTTATTAAATCATGCCAGGTACAGAGTATTTTTTTAAAGGGTGAGCTCTGGGAGGCTTCCACCAAATCAACTATACCAGCTGCTGTTTTATTGGGGAGGCAGGCTCATTTTGCCACAAAACTTCAGCTGCACGTTCTCAGGTGATCACAGGCTACAAATAAGATGCTCATGAGCTGTGGGTTGCCCCCTCCTCTGAACCAAGCCAATTATAGTGTATTCAGTTAATGATTGATAAACAAGCCAATGCTTACTGCTATACCTGAAACAAGCCTATTAGGTACATCAAACAAGTTGCACAATTCTGCAAACATTACTTTATCAAAAAAAGCAAACTAGTCTCTCTAGCTTTGGTGACTTCCATGAAGCTGTAATTCCACTGAACATCTGATTTACATCTTTTTTTCAAAAGCTGTGTTCTCAGAGTTAAATACCTCTTTCTTCCATTTAGCAGATCATAAAGTTGTCCACAGTAGATCTCATAAAAGCTGATCCAGACATGGAGGTCTTTTCTAGCCTGAGTTGTTTCTAGTTGCCTGAAAATCTCTTTAGCAGCCAAAGCGTAGAGACCTGGGTTTTTATGAGTGCCAAACATGGTGTACGTCTTTCCTGCCCCTGTTTGTCCATACGCAAAGCAAGTGGCATTGCCTCTGCAACCAAGAAAGATTTAAAATAACAATAAAAACCTTCTGTTAACAACTTAAATATGTTCCATTCTAGGTATGCTGTTTATTTATTTGAATAGCTATACCTTACAAAAGATAGCATAGAAAATTGAGGGGGGAAAAAGAAATCATAAACATTAAAATGTCGAAGGATATTCCTCTTTCGTTCGAACACAGTAACCCAAAGTGATATATTATTATACATGTATTATACAGGAGAAAATATATTTGAATAAAAGGTAGGGTAGAATATGCCTGGGAACTGAGGTAAACCACAATGATCAGTACTGGCAGAGATTTTTCTTAGTGCAGGACACCAAATTATTTGTTGTTTCTTCTGCAAAACAGATAGTAGGTGGGCTAAAGTGATTAATTTCCAAAGATTCTTAGCACAGCAGACTGCAGAACCTGAAAGCATAAAATTCCTGTTCAGGTTCCTGCTCAGCTATACTGATGATCAGATAAGCTTGCAAGTTAAGTCACTATAAGCCTAATTTACTTATAATAGCCTAGCCTACCTGAAAAATGACAAGAAAAACACACGAATACCTCAAATTCTGCAATCCATAAACCTCTTAAGTCAGAATAGTCTTCCATGAAATAGAAATTAAGAGATAGCAGCTTCAGTAAGTGAACTGATGGGTATAAGCTTGGCTTGCTGAACTGAGCCTTCCTTTTGAATTGGCCCTTGCAATATAAATGCTCACAAGAGGCTCCTCTCTTTTTTAGCAAGAGCAAAACTGCATTAAAAGCAAGCATGACAACCCATAAGCTCAGGGCAGTAGTGGGTTTTCCAGCCATAATCTCATCTGAATGTTAAATTCACAGCAAAAGGAAAGTACTCGTGCTGATGCTTTCCCCAGTCATGTACATAAAATTCATCAGAAATATCCTTATCTCTCAGGTAGTGGGATAAATGCAAGCCATCAGTATTTTTCAATGGCTGGGCTCATGTGTTATGCTAAAACCATAATTTGGTGTGTTTGCTTATGGCTCAGTAAGATGTGAAGCTTCTAGCTCTGGAGTTTGCAGGGGCACAAATGTAACATGGCACAACTGCAGGCAGGTGTTACAATTGTGCCCCTGGGCTTTAAAACAGGACACAGCCCAATTCTTCATTCTCTTGGCTGTGTGCAACAGCATAGGCAATTTTTATTCTGAAGACCCATTTAGTTTTGAAGCTTCATTCGCATCACTTCTTTTGGCTTTTTAGAGTGCTTCAACTCTCAAAATCCCCCCCAAACTGAAGATTGCTGGACTGGAGATCCAGGTTTGGAAGGCATAAGATTGAAGGCTGATCTACATGAACAATGAAAATGTTAGTATGAAGAAATACTCAACAGTGATACTCTACCCACTAAATACATGCTGAATAAGAGGATGAGCGGTCTTCATGTACACATCTTGATTGGAACATGTCTCCCCAAAGACTTCATCGAAGTAAAACACATGCTGTAAACAACAAAAGGGATACTTAGAGGAAGAAAAAGATTTTAATTCCTTTAACTAGGTATAATGGTAGCAGGCATAACCAGGGGCATGGACTCATTCAAAATGATGAGAATGTTCTGATACTGCAAAGCCGCATTAAACCCCCGAGAAGCAGCACCATCAGCAACAGCAAAGAGATATAAAGGGGGGAAAAAAATCTGTCTCATTTTATTTCTAAGCTCCATCAAGTAGATGTCCCTGGGGAAAAGAAGCAGTGGGTGTAGCTAAAGTAAGATGGGAAAATTTTAGATACCTTTAAATGAGCAGTAATGTAGTTCACTGAATTGAATATTTTAAAGTTAAGGCCCCAAATCAGACAAACTAGAATACATGTTTGGGCTGGCAAAAAGCAAATTTCTATACATCCTTTTATTCAACAACTTCAAAAGCAAAACTTCCTACGCTGAAGGCAGCTTATCTCCAGATGACTATAGTGGTAGGTATCGATGTCTTTTTGGAGACACCCCATTCCTTTCATTTAAGTTCACAGAAAAGTATTTCATAAGAAGCTGTGCCCAAATTATCTTACATTTATCATCAGAATTTTATAGGAAATGCTTGGGAAAATTAAATATCGCCTACAAAAATTCCTCAGTTATCAGCAGGCCACAAAGCAGCTTTTGATTCTCACTGTGGAATTACCGGAGTTCCAACAGTGTGAGAATAAATAGTCTAAATAGATAAAATAAACAGAGTCCATCACCTTCCAAGGCTGTCTGTACCACGGTCTAGAAATCCATATCATCCGAAAGTTCTTCTAGATGCTCTGCTGAAATTCCCCCTTTTAAACATTTGTAATTTTTCTCATTTAATGAGGAAATGTTTAGTGTATGTACAAGATTGGGAGACTGACTGAAGGGCTACCCAAAATTTTACTGTAAACAAAACAGAAATTGAATCAAACAGACACAGCCCTCTTCTACACATGCTGAAAACTCCATTTATATGTTTCAACAATAGTGCTACAAAATCTGTACTTTGCATACACACGAAGGTCTCAAATAAAAGTGTGCTTTCAAAACAATTGTTATGTCAGTTTATTCTGGCAATCAGAGAAAGACCAAAAAGCAAGCACAACTCAATTCAGTGATGACCTTCTTATAGCACATTTATTTATTCATTCATTCAATTTATATAGCTGCCCATCTCAGACCAGTGACTCTG